TGTTGACATCTTACGCACAACTGTTACAAAAGTACAGTCCACGACTGTAATCTTGAGACTTGCAATGAATGCAGGAAGTCCGTAGCTTTAAAGGCAGACGCTATCACCCCGCAAGTCTCAAGATTACAGTCGCGGACTATAACTTGTGGTCAGACGGAGGAAAGCGATACTTGGTGTTACCAAGGCCTTTTGTGGGTACAGGGCCCCTAATCTACAGATAGATTAATCTCGAGAAGAATGGATTCTGAGAGCTGTATCAACTAAGTTGTCATGTGGCTTTTCGGAATTACCCGCCGTCCTTTGCGAGGAAAGGGCAGTGTAGGGCTGTCATGTTTTGTCGTGATAAATAAATCATCTATAAACAAAGTCGCAGCTTCACAAAATGGTTCCAAGGCTGTCCGTGTCTTGATGACATTATTAGCGCTTCATCTCCTTGCTGTGGGATTGAGTGGAGACGAAGGAGCGATGGTGTATGATGACGTAGGTGGAGGGGTGGGTTGAACTCTGAGCAGATACTAAAATATTTGGTATATCAAATCTAAAACTTCTTGACGATGGTGAAGAGTCAATTGAATAAAAATTTTCTTGGATATTATCCATCGTCTAGTAAATATAAAACGTAAAACGACGTTTCGGAGATGGGACTCTATCTCCGTCTTCAGGTTCCTACACAGTTGGGCCCACTAGATAGAGCTAATCCCTATCTCCGGACCTCTTGGATATTATCCATCGTCTAGTAAATATAAAACGTAAAACGACGTTTCGGAGATGGTCCGGAGATAGGGATTAGCTCTATCTAGTGGGCCCAACTGTGTAGGAACCTGAAGACGGAGATAGAGTCCCATCTCCGAAACGTCGTTTTACGTTTTATATTTACTAGACGATGGATAATATCCAAGAAAATTTTTATTCAATTAAAATATTTGGACTAAGGAACGAATTAAGTTTTTTTTTTTGGGGGGGGGGAGATCTTCCGAGGAAGACAGATGGTTACCCGTGTAGTCCGTGAGGGTGTTGAAGTCGGGTCGCTTAGAAAGCAAATACGTCGTGTTGAATAAGTAATTCAGTTTCTCTGGTGACCTTTTGTATTCAGAGGTCATTGAAGAGGTGTATGTGAGGTCTGGACACACAGAAAAGACACTTAAACAAGAGATGTACAGTGTTGAAGAGGAGTCTCTGAAACAGGCTGATATTTTTAGACATTTCACACTTTTTTTCTTCGAGTGTGCTCTTCGATTATTTCTTTTGAGTTTGGGATCTTTTACAACACACCGTTTTAAACAACGTTGATGTGTGTTCCTTCAAAAAATAATTGTAATTGTGCGTAAAGATTTGTACGCCTAACGTGATGTAGACAATTTAATATTTTAAGTATCGGGTTATTTTAAAAGAAATAAAAATATATTTATTAAATTTGGTTGAAAGCCTTTCACAAATTAGACAGCGGGAGTGAACAGGGCGTGGACTGTAGATGAGATAGTCTTTACAAATTCATTTAAAGACGGCTTTTTCAAACGATTCTGTCATTCTTGTCACGAATATAATTTATATTTCAAATGTTTAAATGTATGTAGGTCACTTTTACATTTTAGACCGAACGATGAAACTTCACGAACTTTGGACAGCCTTGACAAGTGTTATGGCAAGCTTCAAGCTTTTCATTCGTTACAAGTTCGGTCTGCGGGGTATCGGATTATACTGAGACATCGCCACTCTTTTTCCATTTTTCTTGGCTTCATCATCTGCCATAAAAAATCAACCAAACTCCACACCGCCGTCGCCTTATGAACGTGATGTTACGTCTCGTAACGAAGTAGTCGCAGTGTGTGGATGTAACTGACACGGATTCATGATCCCTAGTTTTTGGTTGATTAAGATATAACCTACTTTTGTGTCGTGCCGCGTTTCCAGGTGTCATTATTTTTATTCCAGATGAGGTGCTATCAAAAGGTTTCGGGATTGAACATTTTTACTTTTCCTGAATTCACTGTTATGGTTGAGGATTACTGTTCTTTCGTTGTTTCTTGTAGTCGTCGCTGTAAAATAGTAGTTTATTTAATGACGCTATCAGTAACTGAAGAGTGTAGCGCATAGTGATGCGTGACTTTATATGACTTGTTTGTTTCGCTGTGACTAAATACAATAAAATCCTCTCGAGCGACAAATCGCTTCAAGATGGACATCATTCCTGATGATGGAGACAGAAGGCGTATCCGAAACGTTGGATTTCTACGCCATTTTTACGCGGCTTCTCGCATCGAGAGGATTTTTATGAATGAATAATTAAATGAAGACGACATGAAAGGAACCGGTCGTCGCCTACTTAGATGCTGTTCCTTCGATTAGGGGCTTTTATAAAATGAGGTTGTTTGCATTCCTGATTTCTGTTCTGGAACTCCTGGGTTCGGATCTTAACTCTGAAATTGAGACCTTCGTAATGCAGCTATAAACTCATTTTCTGAGATAATTATATGGGGCGAAGTTTTTTTTTACACGGAGGAATTGGTCGACACCGCTCTAGATAGGTTTCTTCGTGACAGGAATAAAGATTAGCGAATTCTCGGCGAATTCCAGATTCTTTAGTTTAGTACTTTGGAATGTATCGGGTGTTGAGCACGTGACTGCACTGACGTATCACCGGGCGCACTTAATAAAAGAATTCTTGTCCACCTGAAACATTCCACTGATTCATAAATCACCGTATTCGACGAATTTTATACAAAGATGATTTCTCTCTTTTTCCTTAAACTTTTTAGAGGGCTGTAAGAGGAAAGATATTTCAGGAATTTCCTGATATTGAAGGGAGAGGTATATGAGGATTTAACAGATGATAGGGCCACAGTAATCAATAAATACACCGACGAGAAACTGTCTGAAGATTGTACACAGATCGAGAGTTTGTCGGTCTGCAGGATGTAACGGAGTATTTGTACGCTATGTCCCAATTTTTTACTCCTGAAGACGGAGGAAAAAGCATCATTCGAAACGTTTCGCTTGATTATTTAATCATCTGACAATGACGGAAGTCTAAGACACACATAAGCTAGAATTAAAAACAAACTGCTTTTAACTTTATTTCATCTCGCCCCCTCCTCCCCCGACCATCATAACACCAGACACGCCGGAATATTTTAATCACACCTAACGCGTACATAAGTCTCTGATTTTTTTTACTAAAGGATTATAAATATAATATTCAGAAATAAGACAGGGGAAGGTGGTTATAACATAAATGGTTTTCACAGAGTTGCCCGGTACTGCATTTAATTGTATTCGGAAGATAACTGGTTCGGTTCCCGGCCGAGACACAACAGTTATCGAGACCAGGTTCTATGAAAGTTGTCTTCTGATATACCGCCTTTGGACAGATGATGTCCACTACCTTTCATGTCCGTTGTCACGATAATATTTATAATTTATCAGATGGTGCAAAGCAATTTAGCAATATAAACTGGCAGAACCACGTAGAAATGAAAACGCCAGCTTTTGCCATTCCTTGTTGCCCTGTAAGGAAACTTTTAATTAACTTTGCATTGTTTGACGCGCGTGCAAGTATTACATTGAGACTTTGGTTTTACTGCTCAAAGTGGAAGGCTGTTTTATAAACTTCCATGCTTTTACCAGCTTAATTATCAGTTAGTGGTGTTTCTTCAATGTTTAATGTCCTTTTGTGTTTATCCGAGAGACGTTCTAGGAACAGAACTTTGATCTTCGAGAACTTCATGAATTATCCAAAACAAACCCTGTGTCTCCCCAGTCGTATTAATTGTGATACCCAAATTACATTAAAATCTGAGATACTTCCTGCTGTTATGAATTTGTATTCTAGCGAACGGGATGTCTACTGAGAAGAGATGTTTGTGTTTAAAAGTCGGACATGCGCAGACCTGCTTACATGAACCTGAAACCGAAGTCTAGTTTGTGTTACAACAGACGTAGGCTTGCAATTTAATTGGGATTATCAGGTTTGATCCTTGAAAGAATGTTTTGGAATCGTTGCTTTTGTCATGAGCCAAGTCGGAGGGTAATTACCAAATAGGCCCGCTTGTTAAAAACTTTCAATTGGCACTTGAAAGACGTTAATGAACTGTATACCTTAATCATGAGGAGAATTGTAAGAACTTACACAATGTAATTAAAGCTCTTGGTCCAAAGATAATCACGAGATGATAAATATTAAAATTTTGTATGTTGGATCTTGAGATCATCATAATCTTCATCAACCTCAGGGACTTGTCTTCCAGAGCAGTGGTATTCAACCTTTTTTTGTTCGCGTACCCCCAGATATAATTTCTCTTCAACTTTGTACCCCCAAAGTTGTTGGTGTATAATTCAAGTTATACATAGTATATAATCTACATCTAAAATAAATTAAATAAATTACATTACTGATTATTCAGTGTTTATCATAAAATAATATATATTTTTAAATTTCACGTACCCCCTAAGATGTCTTCGCGTACCCCCGGGGGGATTTATATTCGGATGAATGGAGTCACATGTTGGCAAGGTATTTAATATTGATCATTAAACCCCAAGTTACTGTGAAATTTCTGTGTGACTTATTTTGGCGTAAACAAAATTCGATTTTGAGTGGAGACTTCATGTTTGATCCTCGAACAGAGAACGCGAAATTTATTTAGGGCTTACCTTGGCGGCGTTGGAAGAATAGGGCTCGTCAAAGAGGGACCACATCTTTGGTTTGATGTGCTGCCACCATGACAGGGTGCCCGAGAAGTAATCCTCCTCAAACCCAAACTTCCGCGCCAGTTCCTCGTCGCTCGGCTTGTCCGTGTCTAGATCCAGTCTGTCCAAAACCGCCAGCGTCTCCTGTGTGTCTCGATGCTGCAACACGCAACAACAGCCCCATTGAAAAAGGAGTTCTTGAAGCTGGAAGGGTTTTTGAGTCTCATGTGTGGGACGTGTTTTTAAGCCTTTGAAGCACGATACCTCAAATAATCACAACGCGTCTCCATTATAAACTATTTAATGCTGTTTAGGGAAATGTTTTATGTTTTCTCTAAGAACCATTTAAATCCTGTTAGTAGACATTGTGGTCAAAATATACGATAATTGAATGCCAACATGTAGGTACCAATCCTATTGTCATTAAAACTAAAAAATCTCTAGAGATTCTTACTGAATATGGGCTGGCAGTTTTATATTTGTATTTCGTTAATCATTGTACTTATTATGCTGAATAGATTTGGCTTGAAGGTGAATGCGTAGGAGCTTAGCTTTGGTTCGTGTGTAATCCGAGTAGACAGTCATTCGCCGAGCGCTTAGGCAACTTCTCTAACACTTCAGTACAGCGTGTAGTATCAACAGAATTCCGCAGGCGTTGCTGATGAATTGCAGAGTTGGGTTCCTTCCAAAATTTCTGAGGTGGTGGTCTCAGGCAAAACATGTTTTTTTGAGTGTGTGTGTTCTGGAATTCCTCTGAAGATAAGGGGTAGGAGAAGTCTGATGGTTGTTTGATGTGGGCGGACAAGATACGAAATTACTTCCAAAACTTGGTGACGTGAGAAATGACACCCACTCTGTGGTGCTTAGTTTCAGTTACAGTGAATCACCAAACTGTGATACGCGAACCACGAGGAAGACTTTCGTTATTAATGGATCTTCTCACGTGACAGAACTTTTACAAGAATTTTTTAATGTCAGATGACAGAAAATAATCAATTTGAAAAAGAAGAGTGAAAATGAGAGTTGTTCTTTGGTATAAACATACTTTATGTTCCTGATGTTAATTTTCTGCATACACGTATTTATAGTCAAACCTATGGCCCTTAATAGGCGAATTTAATTTTTCCAATCTGTTCCTTATCTCTTTTTTAAAATGAGGTTCAAGTTCTCACAGCGGTGGAAATGTGGATACGGTATTATGATTTCTCACGTAATGTAGCGTTGTAAGAGGTTACCGACGTTTCGGAGGTCCTTGATGCCTCCTTTATCGCCAGGGCAATCGCCCTGACGGTAGCTGCGGTCTGACAGGAAGATGGAATCGATTAATATGAATGTTTAATAACTAGGGGAGTTGCCTGACGGCATTGGAATTGTCGTATTCCTGATGAAATTAATCCAGTAAAAGAGTTAATGTCGCAGACTTCGGGAATATAATAGCCAAGGGCGTAATGTGGATATTTATAAGGACGGAGAATGAGGAAAATTTCCGCATTTAGGTTGGTGTTTGTTGTGCGCAGTAACCAGATCAGTGCCGTCACTAGCCTCTAAAACAAGAAGCAACTTAGCAAACTTAGTTAAGGCGCCACACAAATTGATAATTGTTTCCATCAACACAGTCACCCCCCACCCCACCCTCAGCCTATTAATAGCACAGAGACTGAGTACGTAGGTTTGCAAGGCTTGAATCAAAGTTAAAGTGATTCGAACCTGTTTTGTGGTACGTTACCATTACAGACAGATCTGACCTTGTTCCTGAACTGAGACAGGTCTACCAATGTCATTCACAGTAGAAGACAGATTGCTAGAATGGTACACTGAGTGGTCTATTTTTAGCCATGGATGTTGTTTGAAGTCTGCTGACAGTGAGAGATAGGGGTTTGATTGTCGGTAGGGAAGTGTAAAGTTCTTTTAACCCACCCCAATTATTCTTGTGTGACTCACCCGGTCCACTGTCTAACGGCAGAATTTTTTTTTCCTCGGGGGGTGATTATATAATTTTATAATCTAACATTATCTTTATTCCACTAACTGAAGTGTATATTGATCACCTGCATGGAAATAATCAGCTCCACGGAGGCAGTTTGTTTGTTAGTTAGCTTTATTATACGTAATAGAACCCGATAAGATTTTGACAGTTTTAACAATAACCCGCTGTTATGACTGACAGACTTTTTCTCGTGTATCCGCGTCGGTAAGTGTAGTCTCTCTTCCACACTGTGTAAACTAATATTTTTTCTGGTCATCAGCCAGTCAAAACCATTCTTTTATGCTGTCTACATAACGTCGCTGAATTACAGCCAAGACTCAGCTTCCCCAGAATAAACCCCTATCCTCTGTAATGCAAATCGCTCCAATGATTAACAATCTCCTCTCCATATTTTTTGCTTGGGTGTGAAATGACTTTTTAAACATCAACCCACGAAGCCTTGAGGAGGCAGTCGCTTGCCTTATGGCATTTGTTTAAGTTTGATTATAAAGCTTGTGCTATTAAATTGCATTTCAATAAGTATTTATGATAAGTTTGCTTGTAATTGTCATGAAATTTTTTAAAAAATGTACTTTTAACTTTTCTTCGATTCTCTCTGGCTCTCTGTGTTTGACGTCCAGATAAATTAATTTTTACTTACCTCTGTTGAACAAAATGGAAATTAGTGAGCAATGTAGGCTTCACTAAGTAGCCTATTATGTGCATTGAGCGAGACTTTGACGCAAAAGAAATTGTACGTAGCGAGCCGGTATTGATTGGAATCTCTTGATACTCAACTGTCGTTAATCAATCACGGTTAAATGTCAAGGTGAATATTAAAGGGTTCATTGACCCCTCCCACTTCATATAAAAGTTAATGTGAGAACAGAATATGCTCATAGTCCCAGGGTTTAATACTTTTATTTTATTTAGTGTTCTGTCTGAGGACAGGTCCATATGAACAGGATCCTTCCCTCTTTTTCTCGGACTGGGCCCTGTTCATATACGTTCTTGGCAGATGATCGAGAAGTGGTTTGCCATTGCCTTCTTTTGTGTGTGAATGGAGTAATTGTTGGGATGCCACGGAGAAACCGGGGAAGCCCCCGGAGGAAAACTCCGTGTTGCCTAGACCACGGCCTTGCCCAACACAAGTTATAAATTCGGGCACCGCCGGGAATCGAACCCGAGACCCCAGGATTACAAGGCCAGCGTTCTAACCGCTAGACCACCGTGATACTATAAAGCATATACCGCGTGGGAACGACAGAAATGAATCAAAATTACGTTTTCAAAGGGTCAAAGAAGTAATTTAGAGACATTTGATGATAAATAAATAGATGGAAAGACGCAGAGAAGCGTTGGTGGACTTGGTGTGTACGGACGACAAAGTGACCCGGGCTGTCAGTCGCCAGGACGGGTCGCCGCCTGAGGCGTCATATGCCACGTGGCCGCTCGCAGTGTCTGCTCTTGGAACGCACGGGTCGCTCATCCATCACACGGACGTCATCCTGTTCATGTCCTTGTGTCAGTCTGTCTCGTTGCTCGCCTCTCTTCAACACTCTTGCCTGTCCGGATGTTCCATTCCCTTACATTTCGTCTCCCATTCTTTCTCCTTTAATTTATGTCCGCGTTATTTCGCATCTTTCCTTCGTCATTGTCTCTGTCCGTTTATGTTCTCTTCGTATATTTCCCTTGCACGCTAAGTTTTAAATATCTTTACCTTTAACTACTGTTATCTTTAATTTTGTCTATTTTCTAACTTCTAACATTCACGTTTCTTTGTTTTCCAAATAAACAAAAATTATTCTTATTTTATCTATTTGTCAATATTTGTTTCACAGTACAACCTTGTCAGTATAAAATAGCTCACCGGTACTAGGTTTCTAATAAATTTCATGTTCACTTCAATAGGCGAATGGCGAAATAGTATATTAAAATAGGCCACTACAGTGTCCTTCACAATACAGTGGCTAATTAGTCAAGCATTATTTCAGTCGGCTAACAAACCACCCAACAGCCAACAAGCAAATCAATTAGCCAATCTGCTAGGCACATTTTTTCCATACTCCAATGCCTGTAAGAAAGATTTGAGTTGGCAATTCTTATTTTTACGTAAAGGTCCGTTCCGTTTTGTTCATTTCCAAATTAATTAAATTTTTAACAGAGCGCCATTTACAGATAATTACTCGTATACGATGATTATTAAAAATTTTAATTATTTTTGTCAGACCTGCAGCTCGTCTCATTTTACTTCGCTCATATCAAGCCTGTTTTACACACACGTCCGTGTATACTAGTAGAACTTTTGTCTGTACATTTGCAAGCCGGTAAGCTCGTCTATTCTTTCCAGATTTTCCATCGTGTTATACATTCGTGTCTCCGCCCCTAACACACGTCTGTCTGCTCGCGTCCATTAAGCTTCATTGTTCATACGTCCACTTGGTAAATGTTGAACAAATGACATGCTGTTACCGCATACACCAGTCACTAGGCGACTGTCAGCGTAACGACTTTCGATGGTTTTTGTTTGCGTGTTGAAGTGAACACTTGTGTAGTTTCAAATTTTTATGCGTACTTTTCAGAGGGGGCACGAACTGAATGCAGAATCAGATTACCTTTTTCATCTGTCTTTTACGAAAGTAATTGACAAATTTCGACAAAATTTGGCACAGACGATTTTGCTAAAAGTTGTGAGGTAAATTTGATTTTGTTTTGTATTGGTTTGATAAAAACCACTGTTTAACACGAAGATCAAATTAAACTTCATCACATTTTTTTATAAAAGTACGCGGTACATAAAATACGGCTCCGTGGCACAAATAGATTGATGTAATCTGCATCATTAAATTTATAAATTTAGTTTGAAAAATTTTTCTGTGTAAAATGTATTCAACGAATTTAAACGTAAGGTTAGTTTTTTTCTTCATGCAATTTTATACGTATACTCTAACATAAGGTACCACTCGAAAGACGTAGGCATTGATGTGATGATAATATTAAAATGGATCTTAGGAAAATGAAATCGGAGCTTCTTGACTATCGCAGCGTAATATTAGCTTCTCAACGAGGATTTTGCTTCATGGAATTTTTTGTATTATAATTTTAATGAGACTGAGATAATTTGTGTTCACGCCTCGGCCGAAAGTCGTCAGACTGACAGACTGGACTCAACATCCTTTAACAGTGGTCGAGTAGAGAATAATTATCGCCCGAGTCTAGAATCGAATTTCGATAGCCTTGGTATTCCGTCACGTTATTGAATTTTCCCTGCTTATAATATGGATACTGTTGATTGGTTTCCTAAGCATTGATGTTTATACATCTCTTCTGCATTATTTAACTAGGTTACCGGTACAATTTATTTGCGCCTACGAAAAGCCAGCGAGGAGAAGAGAGCGCTCTAGTCTGGAGCGTGCCTTTCTACTTGTTTCCATTATCAAAGTATATTTTCTTAAATTCTTTTGTCGTTGTAGGAAGAGCCAAGACTTGATGGATGATGGTGTTGGAAGCTCCTCACAATGCATCATGAGGAAGTCTATGAGAATATTTGAATAGGCGAGAGAAGAATTAAGAAGTTGAAGATGAAAATCGTTATGACGTCACCCCTCTTCATCAAATGACTCGTCGCTACAGAAGGCGGCCCCCGAGAAAACTTAAATATCTCTGCAACAACTACAGTAAGTAAACGGCGAGATTTCAGTAGATTATCTCAGCCTTTAATATCTGTTGTAAAAGCGACAGGACATACCTTAAAAGAGTCCAAATACTTCTCCCACTTAATCATCTTTCATTATTTTCATCTACCCATATCTCTTTCCATTCTATTTGACCTTAGTAATTGATGCAGAATCTTAAAATAACCTAAGAAATAACCAGTCTTTATCCAGCTGAGATTTTAGATTCTCACGGCTGTTTTGCGCCGTGTATTTTGGTAGATATTGATTGACACTTCAGGTTTGCTACTGCCTCCATCGTCAGGGTGGTGTGGAAAGGGTGGGACTGAGAGTGTTATTGTGGTTGGAATTGACAAAGGGCTTCTTACCTGAGTGTATGTCATCCAACAGCAGGGCTCCACTTGGTTTGCGTCCAAACCCCAAAACTCTAGCTCCTCCTCAAACAGTGGCCCGCACACATCAGTTGGGTAATGCAACTTCCCCGTCCTGCCAGAGAAACCACAAATCGTGACGTTTTTTCGCATTAATAATCTGAATTACGCAATTGTCTTATATCAATTATAGACTTTAGTGAATGGGGAATTGAAACTTGGAAGGTTCCTCAATTACGGAGAAATTATCGATCAGGCTGAATAATATTAATTTTTCAATGAACAACGTACATGTACCGCTGAGTAAATTAATATTGACATTCTACAAAAATTTGAAAAACGTAAATTTACTTTCACAGGAGTCGGTGAGTGATTTAGGAATACTTATATTTATCTTTGGGGTTTGTGCATCAGCGATGAACAGAGGCTTACCGGTAGTAGTTGAGGACTTGGGCGAAGACGCCGGGGTGGCGATCGAAGAAATACTCGTTGAGGATTGGGTCGTAATTGGCGAGAGCCTCTGTCAGCCGCGACAGACGCGTGGCTGGGATCTTCTTGAGAGTCGCCTTGTACGTCTCGTGTCTGATCCCTCCCACGTTCAGGACCACGCGGTTCTCCGCGTCCATGTTGATCAGGTTCATCTCGGAGCCGGCTGTGACACGGAAAACACGTACTAACAGATTTGCATAACCATTCACACAAAAAGAGACTTAAGGAGAGTGTAAAACATCTTGATAATCATGTGAACGCTTACATATTTATGAGATCTTTGACGGATTTTTCTTTCTTTATCAAGAGAATCTTATTCTTAGGATTCAAAGTACGTACTCGTAAATTAAGCGCAGGCTGACGGGAGCTTCACTAGATGTCCACGTCGTGGCGCTGCTGTCTGCTGTCCACTGCCACGTGGATCCTGATGTTGCTTTCAAAACTTCGGCCTTTCGCATAAAGCCTCGCTCGTACCATCTCCTGTGTCAAGAAATTATTACATCTCAGAGAATGAATATTAATAAGAATTCTCATTGTAAGATAAGTAACTGAATAGTTGTTGTCACAACTTTTCATAAGACGTGAAAAAAATTGCTTGAATCATCATTCATTGATATGTTGATGGTTGTATTCTGGGTTGTAACGCCGTGTAGACGGTAGATGACCAAGGTTTCAGAGGACCTTGCTGCCTCCATCATTGCCCTGATGATGGATACAGCAAAGGCATCTGAAATATTGATAAAGCTCTCCCACCTAAACTCACCTAAAATACACCAAAGTTAACCTAATCTACTCTAACCTAACCTAACCTAACTAAACTAAACCTTACCTTACCTAACCTAATCTAACACAACCTAACCCTAACTAACGTAACCTAAACTAACCTTACCTAACCCAACCTCACCCAATCTGCCCTAAGCTATCCTGACCTCACCTAACCCAACCAAACAGAGCTCAACCCAAACTAACCTAACCTAACACAACCTAACTTAACCTAACCCGACATAACTTTACCCAACCTGATCTATCCCAGCCCTACCTCACCTAACGTAACGTAACCTAACATTACGTAACCTATCCTAACCTCACCCAAACTTACTTTATCCAACCTAACCTAACTTAACCCAACCTCACCCAACATATCCTGATCTAACGTGATCTAACCGAACATGTGTTCGGTGTCGCGAGATTTTTTATAATTCCGAAGTAGTAATGGGATTCTCACTTTTAGAGTGCGAAGCAAAAATTGTAGCTCTGTCGATAAAGGAACTGACTAGAAGGTTCATGAGAGTAAAATAAGGAAAATAAATAAG